TACCTAAAGCCATTACTTCTTAACTAATTTGTTACATGATACTACTATTTATTATATTTGACTGTTAGCTTGAGGTTCTTTATGTCTATCATATCTGTATGGTAAAATAGTACGCAACTGCCCATCTCTTCCCAACTCCATGGGCAGTTACGTATGTCAATAACCTGCCATCAACCATGGCAAGAATACTTGTATCACAGAACTGGCAAATGCTGTAAAACAGGGCAGATAGTGATGTACTGCCAATATGCTGATAACGAACAAATAGGTGAGGTGCCCAATAAAACTGACTTATATGTTTTATTACCTTAAATAGTAGAATCTATAATGACTGCAAAATTTCTGTAGCACACAGTGGTTTGCTGGTTATCTTGAGGCAAAGTACTTAAGAAATAGTGATCTTAGAAGATGAATTATATATTTTTCTTTTACAGAAATACAGGTGATTAAAATCTGTTGACCCTTTAAATGGCCAATGGCTGTCATTAGTCTGCTAAGGAGAATATATTACTAAGCACAATCCATATCTTCATCAAGAGAAAGGTGACATTATAACAAGAAGAAAGAACTACCTTTAAAAAAAATATGGAGAAAGTATTATGAAAAGAAATATTTAAAGTATTTCCACCATTATGTGATTTTGATGCAAAATCATTTATAAAAATCTATAAAAACATTCATATCTATATTTTTAAAACATAGAAAAACTTTAACCTGTTTAAAAATCTTATAAGTGAAGTTTCAGTGCAGTTAGAACCTACCCTAAAATACAAAAATGTAACACCTTCTCATTAGTTTGCTAAAAAAAAAAAAAACTAGCATCACAGAAGATGGAAATTCTAGTCAATTTTAACAAAATGCTATCAAATTGATAGATGAGTATCATGACTTAGAAAGTCTGGCAATAAGGTGTTTCTTCCAGGAACAGTGATTAAAATCAAGTATCAAAACTATGCTTAATTTTAAAAAAACCTCTGACTTGTCATAGCACACATTGTCAAATCAAGATTTTTAAAAATAACAAAACATATTCAATCATATTGCTTTCACTAAAATTTAAGAATTTAGAATAGTACTTTGAAACTTCATTTTACCTTTATCTCAACCTTATAAAAATGTCTACAAATACAGTAGTACATACATCCAATTTATAAATAAATATACAGGTACAGGTTGAAAATTTTTTATTGATAGGAACTTAATCAAAAAACTTGATTGTTCCAGATTAGGGAATGACTAACTTAATTGCTTTCAAGGACCAAACAAGTAAGGCAAATAAATGACATTTTAAAGAAATAGGTGTAAGGAAAAAAAGAGCCGTGGGGCAAATAAGCACACACGTGCCCCTCTACAGAGAACAGTGGCTGTGCAGCTCCAGCCGGAGGTGCCCCTGTGTGGCCTGATCTTCATTTTCATTAAAGTCCGGATCTTTTTGTAAAATCCACTGCTTTTTAAAGTCTGGCGATATATGGGACAGCACTAGGGGGCTACATAAACATTTCTGTAAGGCCCTGAACGCTTATGGGCTGCTAGTTTGTAATCTCTGCTCTGGATTTTCAAATAGGAAAACTAACTAAGTTTTATTAAGTAAATTATTTATTACTTGAAATTAAAGGGCTCTGACTATTGTAACTTTTAAAGAACAATCAGAGAATTTGAGAAGGCATACATTTCAGAAGAAAAGTAAATTCTCCTGGTATGAGCAGACACTGCTAAAATAGATGGCTCTTTCTCAGATGACCAGGGTGAAAATAAATGACTCTTAATTACGTATAATTTCTCGGCCATATGCTCTCTAACCCTGTTTGCAACCCCCAGCCCAACCATAGCCCATCCAAGTTTTGAAAACAAACACAAGAGTAAGGTCAAGAATGGGATGAGCACATTGGCTTTACACATTATATTTTAAAAAGTAAAAAAAAAGCTGAAAGTTTAATGACTTCTTAGGCTAGTTCAAAATGTCCCTAGTAAGATGACTATCAAGGTTCTATTTAAGGTGACTTTCAAGATGCTACCATCTGAGAAATAAAATATATGAGGGACAAAAGATTTGAGGGAGTTGGAGGGGCAGATGATGAGATTTGGGGAGAAAATTCAGTTTGACATACCAGAAGGGACATATAGGTATGTCCTGAAAACAATTAAATATATGAGTACAAATCTCAGAGAAGGACCAAGGCTGGAATACAGATACAGAAGTCAGCTTGTAGGTGCTAAGAAAAGCCACAAGACTTTGAGAGTATGACAGAATATCTAAGGATAACACAAAGTAGAAAGAGCACTAGATAGAAGCTATGACCCTGGGCTACTTCAACATTTATGGGGAAGACAGTGTGTTGGGTGGGTCTCTCATGAGGGCAATGAAGTGGCTATAATGTCAGAGGGCATGGAGTAGAGAGCAGGATAACGGGCCAGATGCCAACATCCTTGATGACCATGATGGAAAGATTACAAGGTTGGTAGGTATCAGCAACAAGACAGATGCCATGATCCTCAAATGAGAGTTTATATGACAACTGAGAATTACCTAGAAATCTCACTGATAAGCAATGAAAATAGTTCTCTATACCTTCCCTGCTCCAAAGTACACATCTGGGGAAATGAGCAGCCTCAGCCCCCATTTATGAAAGAAGGACAGGAATGGGCTAACGGGGAAGCACTGTCCTCAGAGAAAAGTCAGGTTTCAATCAAGCCAAGGAGATAGAGGAGGTGTTCTATGAAGTGGGGGTGTAGGCGACTTGGCTATCTCAGAACAGGGATTCTTCAGAGCCCAGAGCAAGGACTTGGGAGAGAAGGTACAGAGCAGCACTACACAAGATAAATATAATATGAATCGCATATATCATTTTAAATTTCCTAGTAGCCACATTTTTAAAAGCAAAAAGAAAAAGTAAAATTAATTAGTAATATATTTTACTTAACCCAGTGTATCCAAAATATAATTAAATTTTAGCATATAATCGATATAAAAAATTATTGATAGTTTATATTCTTTCTTTCATGCTAAGTTTTCAAAATCTTGTGTGTACTTTACAGTTATAACACATCTCAATACTGACCAGTCACATTTCAAGTGCTCAACAGCCACATGTGGCCAGTGGCTACTTTATAGAACAAATGAGATATACAGGGAAGATGAGTCAGGAGCAAAAAAAAAAAATAGAACAGTTTAGCGATAACAGTTCAGGAGAAGAGTAACAACTGAAGGGACTTACATTTTGGATAGTCATTGAAAATCAGGATGTGAGTCATGGTAAAAGTTACAAGCTCTAAGGGATCAAACTGAATTTACAGAGCCACAACAGACAGAGGCTTGTGGTGGGGTTGGGGATAGTGGTGGTTAGCCTGAATCAAAGAGTACCAGGGTCAGCCTTCCACTGGCCAAGCCACATCTGGAAGGCAATGTTGAAAATGGATGGTAGTTTAGCCCAGTTTCACAGAGAGCGCTAATGCTCAGCAACAGGAACTGATTTTCCTATCTCATCCGAACTTGTTATCACAGAGTTACTCTAAGCCATCTTGATCACTGTCTTTAAAAACAGAAATAACTTACTTCTGGCATAGAAGGGACGTATCAGAAACTCTAGGAGTTTTACCTTTAGGGCAGGATTTCACTACCACACAATAGCTCAACTCTTACCAAGTTCAGGCCATTCTCACCAAACTTTTTCTTACCTTGTGAAAGAAGGCAGCACCTGTCAGCACCATGGACAGCTCACAAGAATAGTTGGAGTTGTAGAGCCAGGACTGATGAGGGATGTCCCACGCATGGTAACGGCCAGGGAAACCCACAATGCGGTCCCGCGCTTCTCTCCACACCCTCAAAAAACACAAGCACATGCACACACCTGAATACAAAGCTCTACGATTACCAGAAACATTTAAAATTACTGCCTCCGTCTTGCTGGCTTTGGTCCTTAGGCTGTTAACTTTTTTCTTTTTTTAAAAAAAATAATAAAATCAGTCACAAGCCAAACAGAATAAAAACAAAGAGTATCACGTGTAGCTTCCTTAATAAGCACCTGCTTATTGCTCCTCTAACTCCTGGCAGCCAGCATCTCTCCAGCCCTTATGGAAAGAACAAGCTGGAATAACGTGGGTAAGAGCTCTAAGTCAGGGGTCTCAAGAGTGGGGTCTGTACAGCAATCTGCTAAGAAGCAGGAAGAAGATATCAATTTCTATTTCTATTTATTTTTAATCTCATTTCTTAATAAGTTTTGGTTTTAATGAGCATTATGTATAGGACTTGTATATAATTTATGCAGATTGCATGCTTAACTTTCCTATTACTGAGAGAATGAATACACCATAAAAGCAGCTTAAGAGACCACAAGAGACAGCTGCCTGCAGTAAGGTACAACAGCCTTAATTCCTGATTTGAGTACAGCTGAGGGAGAAACCTTCACCAAGAAAAGTAGTAGTCTATAGAACCATGAAATGAAAGATTTCAAAAATGCAAGAAACAAATTGAGAATTCAGTATGTTTCCAGGATGAACTTTTTATAGCATCTCCAAATTCATAGGTAAGGTAGAACAAATTAAATCAGTTCCCCAGTTTCCCAGGCTAAAATTGCAGAGCTGAAAGCACTTCTGCTCCACAGAACCTTACAGCCCTGCAGAAGTGCTTCAGGGGTCCTGTAAACAATGAGTCATCCCCTCCCCACTCCATGTCACCCCTAAATGGATATTTAAACTACCTGAGTACCTCCCTCATCAATTACATGGAATTTCAATTCCTAAAACACATATGATTTCATTTCAAAGGAGTTCCTCTCTTATTAAGTTTAAAAGCAACTAATCTAGTCCAACAGATGGGAAACCACAACTTCTATTCACAACATTAACAGATGGGCTTTCTGCCACCTCCTACCCAAACCCTTACCTCTATCCTAATTTATTTCCAAAAACTGACTCCAAATTACTAACCTAAAAAACTGTAAGATGTTTTCATAATTTAACATATCCAGCATGTAAGGCTTGCTAATAAGTACTATTGGCATAAACAAATGTTATATCGATACTCCTAATAATTCTTATCTTTTCAAAGGCCCATTATTCTTACTAGTCCTGAAATATTCGCAGAGGAAAGAATGGGAAGCTGAATGTTTCAGTCCTCTGATTTGGCTGATTTAAGTCCACATAATATAAACAGTTCTTAATAAAGCAAATCTCATTTGCTACACAAAATATCAAGGATATCAAAAAGTAACAATTTAATTTGTTAAAAGCTGTGAACCTTGAGATGGTTGACTGGGTGTTATCTATTAAATTATAAAGAAAAAAAATCAATGTGGAGGCACAGGAATGAGATAAACTCAACACAAAGGCTTAATATATTCCCGGGATGATGCATCAAAAGTTTCGGATAGTATGATCTCAATGGCTATTTGAAAGTCAGGCATTAAAACATACCTATTATAAATAATGTTACCAATTTACATTTAAAAGTGTGACACATAATCAATTTCTTAACATTATATCCAAATTTGTGCTGCACTAGTTTTAACCCTTGTGCTATATCACAGATCATGCTTTGGCATACCTTCTCTTTAATAAATTAGTCTTTAAATGTGTTAAAAGAATAACTATGCACTAGGTTAGGGGTAAAGTTTCAAAGGTAATTTCATAGCTCAAACATAAACACAAAGAAAATTCACTGAATAAACACAATTCTGCCAAACAACTAAAGAGAAATTTTTAAGTACCATTCCACTAAAGAATCTGAATCATGATTAATATCTTGTTAACATTTCAAATTTAAATACTATCACCTGTGAAATAAGTGCATCAATTCAATCTTTTCACAGTATGAATTTTGGCACATTATTTATATCATTTCCATAATAGTATAGTAGGTTAAGTAAAAAATATATTTATATATAATACACGCCAAAAAGTACATATTTTTGTGCAAGTCTATGTGACTCAAAACAATTTTTTAATGAACTTACTGAATAAAGCAAAGGTCATGTTACTATCAACATTTAATTTGAAACTGATTTTCTAATCTTCAAACCTTAGGCAAAATGGTTTAGAATAAAGATCACTAAATTAACATATTACAGTACATTAAAGTAATATGGACTTTATCATACAAAGAAACATTCTTATCCTTATTGGTTATACCTCCACATTTTTCCCTCTGGTTCATTAAGAACCAAACGACTTGAAACACAATGAGAAAATAAAGTGTAAAATCAACTAAAAATCAAAGAATGTATAAAAAAAGTAATGTGAGATTTTGTTTCTTAACTATCTAAAACAAGAGTTCTTTTCTAAATCTGAAGTTTCTTACAGTATCATATGTAAGCCTTCTCCTCTTACCCCCACCCCCAAAATATTAAAAAACCTATACCACACCATGGTAAAGAAAAAATGTTTGTTAACTCCCTTTGGAAAAGAAAACTCATAAAGCAGAGCCATGAAGTTCAGAGAAAAAAATTAATGTCAGATCCAGTTGTGGAATTCAAAACTTCTGGGTCCAAGATAAAAAAGATATATATCTCCAAAAACGGAACCTACTTTCTAGTCCACAATCTCACACCATCTCTTAAGCTTACGCTGTCTTTTTTTTTTTTAATAAAATTTGTTGAGCTATAAATCACATACTATAACATTTACTCATTTAAAAGTGTACAAGTCATTGTGTTTTAGTATACCCACAGAGCTGTGCAATCATCACCACTACCTAATTTCAGAATATTTTCATCATTCCAAAAAGAAACCCCATAACCATTCCATATATATACATATACATTCCAAATCATTCCAAAAAGAAACCCCATAACCATTAGTAGTCACTCCCCATTCCCGTCTCCCTAGCCCATAGCAACCACTAATCTATTTTCTGTCTCTGTGGATTTGCCTATTATGGACATTTCATTTAAATGGAATCATACAACATGTGGCCTTGAATGACTTTTCATTTAGCCCATTTTCAAGGTTCATTATGTCACAGCATGGATCAGTACTGCATTCCTTTTTATTAGCAAATAATATTCCGTCATATATATACATTACATTATGGTTATCCACTCAACAACTGATGCACATTTGGGTTGTTTATACTTCCTTTGTTTCTGTTTTTTTGACAATTGATTTTTTTGTGTATGGCAAAATGTATATAACATAAAACTTACCATTTTAATCATTTTAGGTATACAGTTCAGTGGCATTAAATATATTCATGTTGTACAACTATCACCATGCACCCATCTCCAGAACTTTTTCATCTTCCCAAACTTAAACTCTGTGCCCATTAAACACTAACTCCCCATTCCTGCCTTCCTCTAGCCCCTGGCAACCACTGTTCTACTTTCTGTCTCTGAATATGACTACTCCAGATGCCTCATATCAGTAAAACCATATGTTTATCCTCTTACGTTGTTCATACTTATTGGTTATTATAAATAATGTTGCTATGAACATTCATGTACTGCTTTTTGTATGAACATATGCTTTCAATTCTTAGGCCTCTTTTATTTGTTCTTTAAGAACACGTTTACAAAAAAGAAAAAAGAACATGTTTACCTCTTTCTTTGCTACATGAGCTGAAATCAGCCAAGATGCATATTCCCTTTTGCCAGAGGGAATAATTCTTATTATACCTGCCCTTTCCTTTTGTACCTAGGTCTATTTTATTCTCGTTCAGGTAAAATAAGAAAATTGGAGAGATTAATAAGAGAAAGCTTTTAGATCAAAGGATGCCCAAACAAATGAAAAGAGAGTCAGGATGGTAAAAGGTTAGGATGTACAGCCAGAGATAATTCATCAGTACCATAACCAGAGGCTAAACCTCAAATTTCCAATGATTGTTAAGAGAGACAATGAAAGGCTTGTTATTCTCTTACCACTTGGAAATCTGTTGACAGATGGAAAAAGTCAAAAGTCTTCCTAAATCAAGAGCCATAGAAAATAGCAAACACCAGCTATCTTAATAAGCTCCAAACTCATCAAAGCAGGACCACTTATCTAAATCATTCTTAGTATCTAGAGGTGGTCGGCAGTGCTCCTGTTAACATCTCACGCCTGTTCACAGATCCCAGCCCTTTAGCATGCTCTGAAGTACACCATGCTATATCGGAAATACATCACCTTCCCCTCCCTCACCACCACCATCAACAACAACTGTGATGGCAAAGACCATGTCTGGAATTATCACATGGCTTCCCTGCCTTCATAAAAACAGGAAGAGAGAGCTGGCTATTGATTATTATGGTACAAAGGAACATACTCCAATTTGGTCAGATTTTTATCACAGCTAACAGACTCTTGCCTTAATAATGGATGTCAAAGGAAATGTGAGTGGGAGAGAGGAAGAACAGATGTTCTACTTTTTCAGAAACACGTCAAATAATTCTTTGTAGATGGATTTGAGACAAATACAGCAAAAAAGCTGCTGCTCTTTTCATCTGAGCATCTGTACTTATTAACATAACCAAAAGAAGCCTGACGGCTAGGTGGGTCAGGTTTTCCATGAATAGAACAAAGGCACCGAGAAGAGTTCTCCATCCTGGATCCAGACTTAAATAAGATCTCCAAGGAAATCTACACCTGTGCTTCTTAAACTATGGTGAAGAACTAACTTACTCCATTATCCATTATTGTGGATTATCACTTTTAGAAAATACAAGAAAAATGAATTGCATGGTTTCTTAAATATGACACCAAAAGCTCAGCCAAAGAAAACATAGATAAATTAGACTTCATAAATAAATGAAACTTTTCTGCTTTGAAGGATACCATCAAGAAAGTGAAAGACAACCCACAGAATGGGAGAAAATATTTGCAAATTTGTAAATCTTACCTCTGATAAAGGACTTATATCTAGAATATAAAAAGAACTCCTTACAGCTCAATAATAAAAAAACAAATAACCCAAATAACAATGGGCAAAGGATCTGAACAGAAATTTCTCCAAAGAAGATATACAAGTAGTCACTAAGCACATGAAAAAATGCTCAACATCGTTAGTCATTAGAGAAAAGCAAATCAGAGAAAAGCAAATCAAAACTACACTGAAATACCACTTCACACGCAGTGGGATGGTTATAAATAAAAACCAGAAAGTAAGTATCGACAAGGATGTGGAGAAAATGGAACCCTTATACACTGCTGATAGCAATAAAATGGTGCAGCCACTTTGGAAAATAGTTCCTCAATACTACTCCTAAGTATATGTCCACGAGAAAGGAAATGTTCATACAAGAATCTGTACATGAATGTTCATAGCAGCATTATTCACAACAGCCAAGAAGTAGAAATGACCCAACTGTCCATTAATGGATAAATGATAAACAAACTGTATATATCCATACAAAATGAATGACACATGCTACAAGAGAGATGAACCTTGAAAACACTATGTTAAGTGAAAAAAACTAGTTACAAAGGGGCACATATTTTATGGTACCATTTATATGAAATATCCACAATAGGCAAATTTATAGAGACACAAAGTAGATTAATAGTTGCCTAGGGCTTAGAGGGGTTGGAGGGAAACGCTAATGGGTACAGGGTTTCTCTTGGTAACGAAGATTTCTAAAATAGATTGTGTTGAGGGTTGTGCAAATTTGTAAATATATTAAAAACCATTGAATTTATATTTAAATGAATGAACTGTCTGATGTATGAATTATATTCAATAAGTGTTACCCAAAAGTGAACTACAAGATAAACAAACCCTTGGATGTCATGGTAAATGTCAAATTGCTTTCAAAGTTTTAAAATGCTTACCCTCGATTTTAGTACCTACCTTACTATGGACAGGTAATAAAGTGTCCATGGGCCAGCATACCAGTCATGACATATTTTGAGTAGCCCTGATCTACTACATTCTTTTACATGTGATGTTCCCTCAAGAGGGATATTTAAGTCTCAATAAGAACTACTAAATTCAAGAAAAAGGTGCAGTTCAATGGTTGAGTGGAAGTTCTGGAGTCAGACAAAACTGCAGTAGAATTCCAGCTCTGCCACTTACTTTCTAGCTTCACAGTTTTGCTCTCTTGGATCTCGATTTATTCCTATGTAAAATGGAGACGAATACAACTTACATCCTCAAGTTTCAGGAGGATGTAAGATAAACCAAAGTACTCAGCTAGTCTCTGGCATACAGTAGGGGTTCAATAAACGTCATGCATCATAACACCACCTCCTCCCCCTCTTTTTCCTCTTGAATCCCTGCATCCAACCTCATCTTTCCTCAAAGCTTTCAGGCCCCAGAATTTTGGCACTGTTCCACTGCCCCAATACACAGCAACAGGTTTCTGCCTGCCTGGGAGTTATTCCCCCTCCTCTTAACACAAAACCCTCACATTTCCTTTATGAATCTACTCTTTGCCTCCACTCTCAGCCCCTATGGATTTCGGGTACAGGATGATCTACTTGCAGCTCCAAGAGTAGGCAGGTAACCCTGGCCTAGCCGATCACAGAATTCCATCTCCCTGGCCTCAGAATAAGAGCCTATATGAGAACAAAGGTAACACAGAGGGAAGCAGAGGCTAGAGATGAAAGAGTTCTGACATCACCTAAGGCCCTGGATCCAGCTATGTCTTAACTTTTAGCCCTTACTATCTCTAAAGATGTCTCAGTTCCTACCAGCTAATAAATTCATTTGGCTGCCTGATTCGGGTTTGACTTAGTTTTCTGTCACTAGCAAATGAAAGTGCTTCTGGACTGAAAATCAGCTTACCGAAACCCAAACATGATTTCATCATGGCGAAGGTGAGCATCATCATCAATAGACAGGATGGCCTCTGTCTCAATTTCATTCCAGGGCAAGAATCGATTATTCAAACTGTTCTTTTCAGTACGGACCACCTGTAAAAAGGAAAGAAAAACACTAACGATCAATTCTGCACCAAAGAACGCAAAACCAAAACTGCCTTTAGGTCAAAGAAGACTGGCTGAATTTACTAATTTTGCCTGGTTACCTACCACTTGTAAAATCTACCACATGACTTTCAGGAATAAAAACTGCCTAATAATTTAGCAAGTGAATAAGAATTTCACATTTTAAGCTTTATTCATTTACTAATTTTCTTGTGAAACAAGCTAAAGCTGAGGATAATTCACATATGCAATAAACACAATCTAGGGAAATTTTTAAAAACTTTCCCGAGAGAACACAAGGTGGCAGAGAACAGCTGTGATGATGATGCCTGGCTCTGGAATCCCCCCGTTTGCTCATAAACCTTAAAACCGAACTCAGAAATTCCTTGAGTCTACGTCATTTCTGACCAATTTTAAAGCCTTTTTTTTGGTATTTAAAATAAAAAGGGGATTGCCTATCCTGTTGAGGTTAATTATTTCAACTTTGAAATTCCTACCTGTAGCACTGACTATACATATAAAAGCTTTTTCCCTCAGAGCTGTACACACCTAAATTCAGTAAAACTAAGTTTGTGTCCACAGCAAATTCCAATTCAAAGACTCGCTATCCAAAGTGACCTATACATAAAGGGGATCAAATATATGGCAGCTAAAGGAAACTGGACTTTGGGTGGTAAACACACAATAGAATATATACAGATGTCAAATTACAATGTACACCTGAAAATTATATAAATGTATTAACTAATGTTACCCCAATAAACTTAATTTAAAAAATAAAAATAAAAAACAATGTGACCCATACATGCAAAGCAGTATTTTCTTCATAAAACAAAGATTAGTGTACAAACAGAACTTCATTATAATTTTTAAAAATTGTATTTAAGCCATATCTCAGATAAGCAGTTTACTACAATGTAGGCAGTAACTTTGTTATTCACCTCACCCCCTAATACTCAAATAAATGAGGATGATCACATTCACAGTACTGTGATAGCTCATTTTTATGGTATCTATAATTAATTAATTCGACTAATGAGGAACCATCATATTATTTTCAAACACTAGAAAAAGAGAACTTGCTGAGTCATCTTTTTAGAAAACCAGGATGGGTCATTTTAGTTTCAACAGGATGTTTTACTTGTACTGAGGATAACCTCTACCTAGCATGATGAATGTAATTATATTTGGAGTCTAAAAGTTTATTAATAATTTCAAAGGTACTTCCATGACCTCAGGAGTATTGTCTCAGCTTAAAAATACTTTCTCCTATTCTTCTACCAAAATTACTCTTCCCCCTGGAGCCCAGCTCAGATGCCTCCTGCTGCCTCCCTCACCCGTTGTCAAAATTAATCACTTCTATGTTCCTAAAGCAGAGTCCTCGTACTTCAATTAATTCATTTTAGCACACTCAAAACCAATTAGTTGAGAGCTAGAAGGGCCTCAGAGATCATCTGGTCCACCTGACTTTATACATGGACAACTGGCAAATGGCAGAGTTAGATTCTAACTCCCACCTTCTAACTCCAAATCAGTCTTTTCCTGCCAATCCTAAATTTATAAATCTCACTGAACCAAAGCCCCATGGAAAATACATTATTAATTCGTGTATCATCAGAAAGAAAAATGCTGCTAAAAAAGAAAGCACATTTAATAGTCTATCACTTAGAAGGTGTACTTTATTAAAAGATTTTTAAGACTCTGCCTCAGCCCCAGAAGAATTCCTCCCAAGTCAGTACAGGGAAGGATCTGTAACAGATTTGCTACCACATAGAACAGATGTCAGAGGCAAGCAATAGACACAGAAGTCCATCTTGCCCTGCAGCATGTTTGATTGATATGAAAATCCCTGAGCTTGTAGCCCAGGTCTACCAAGCTCAGATTCAGCAGTGACAGAACAAAGGCACAGAGGCCTGGGTCAGAGAAAAGAGAGGAGAGGGGAGGGGGAGATGGCCAAGTACACAGCACAACAGCTGCCAGGCTCTGTCCCCGGAGGGATGGCCAGAAGCAGCAGTAGCCAAATGCCAACTTTGGCAATGGTAAAATGCCCTCTATCTTAAGACACATCCAATTTCACACGTTAAAACATAAAATAATGTCCACCTTAGAATCAACGCTCCAACTACCATTCATTTTACTTATACGTAGCATTCATTTTACTTTCCTAACATGCCCACCATTCATTTAATATGAACTGCAATTCTGCTGGTTCGGGTGAATGAAGTTCTCCTCAACTCTAGCAGTAAATATATGCAGCTTAAAATCCAGTAGTTAACACATATAGCTTAAAATGAAGAAAAAATAACTGAAAAATCCAATTCTTGACTATTCCATTGTAGATAACCAATTTTGTGAGTTAATCACCAGGAGGATTATCAACAGCAAGATTAGTAATCCAGGAACATAGCACAGCACTTTAATACTGAGTATAATTCAGAGACCAGCAATTTAGACATCATCTGGGACTTAGAATGCAGAACTGCAGGTCTACCCTAAAGCTATCAAGTCAGAACCTGCATTTTAACAAGATCTCCAAATAATTCCTATGCACATGAAATTTGGAGAGGCACTTAAAAGCATGGCTTTGGAGACAATCAGAAAAGCTTGAGTTCAAATTCCAAGTCCACCACTTATTAGATATGTGACTGTAAGTAAACAATCTCTCTGCTAAATTAAAACAGCACCATGTTGTCTGCAAAAACAAGCTGCTTATCAGCCAAACTTGACAACCCTATAAACAACCTAACGAAACAAAAACTAAAATGTTTGTGATGTGATACCTAGAGTGTATCCAGTTTTTTGTCCAATTTACAAAGTAAATCAAATCAAGGGGGCTTGCTTGTTCTTTGGAAGCTTTGGACAGAGCAGAAGGTCTCGTATCAAATGTGTTTTGGCCTAGATTTCATATAGTTTTTGATGAGATCGGGCGCGTTCAGGGTGGTATGGCCGTAGACTCATAGTTTTTGAGCAAGCTTAATTAAAGTCCATTAAGAGGCAAGTAAGTTCATTAAAAACAACTACTATGGGTTACAGGCATATAGTGTACATAGTACCTCTGCTTGTCCCGGCAAAACTCCTCTGGGCTGGATGACAACAAGATTTTCAGGATTAAAAACTGAGGCAATAGCCATCAGAACAAAAGAAAAGCTTTAAGGATTCACAGAAACACAATCAAGTATTGCGGCAGCTTATTTGTGGTTAGGTCACAAATAACTGCGGTCAATAAACCTGCTTTAAGAATTTAGAGCAGATTCTCAACTAGGAGTGATTTTGCCTCCCCTACTCTCCCACCCCTGGGACATTTGACAATAACTTCGGAAATTCTGGTTATCACAACTATGGCGGGGAAGGCAAGGGAAGGTGAGCTACTTTTATCTGTTGGGCAGAGGCCAGGTTGCTGCTAAATCCTACAAAGCACAGGATGGTCCCCACAACAAAGAATTAGCCAGCCCAAAATGTCATTGACCCCACTGCTGAGATATCAACTTAGAATCAGCCACTAGGAGACAGTAAAGTAAACTTCCAAGAATAAATGTAGCTCATTATTTAAGGACAATCAGCTTTTCCTCCAAACCAAAGAGAGATTTCTACCCTTACAAACTTTGAAAATACAAACTAAAATAATGAGAGGAAAAAGAGTAAAAAATTTCTTCTAGCAGTTTTACTTCAAAGCTATAATGTTTAAACCCTAGAAAAAGCTCAGCAAGCCAACAATTAACCACGCTGGCATCAAAATCAGTAGGACAAAAGACTCAAAGATTTGTAATGCAGACATACAGATCAGCATTGGCCTCGAAGAGTTTGTGAAATGGCAGATCAGAACATCAAAGAAATGAGTCAACCGGAGTACTATGCCATATGTAGGAAGGAGTCTCATTTTTGTTGATTTTGTTTTGTTTCAAATGAAAACAATGCTCCCTCCTTCGTTAACAATAGTTATCTTTTCATGCCTTATGATTATGAATATGAAGACTTACCTTCAAGTTATTAACTACTGGTGTAATGCTGACCAGAATGCATAGAGCCCAGCATCTGGCATACAGCAGGTGTTCAACATGTTTTATAAGTGAAAGAATGAATAAATGAGTAATTTATCCTTGCTCATTCTATTTTCAAAATATGACGTTTTATAAGTGAAAGAATGAATAAATGAGTAGGAACAGCTAATTTATCCTTGCTCATTCTATTTTCAAAATATGAAATAGACTTGAGACGTTTATATATAACAACTATAAACAGTCAAAATTAGAATTTAACCTAGTTTTCCACAGCAAAAAATCCATCAATCTACAATAATCAAGTCAAGGAGCAATAGTAACATTTATTTTTCTTGTTTTACACACAATGCTCCCTGATGATGCCTCACTAGTTTTTTACCATCATTCATAAAAGCCTTGACTTTCTCATTGTACCTTTCTTCTCAAGTGGAACCGCAATCATGGCCTAGAACCCTACCACATGCAAATGTATTCAAGTGCATCCATGATCAAAAAATAGTGACTTCAGTTAACATTCTGCTTGGTTTGTGAGGAATCCTGGAGTTTATGAATGATAAAAGAACTACTACTCTAATAGGATCCTTTCTCCTAATATGTTAAGAATACATTTGGCTTCTAAATCCATGCATAGTCAGCAAATCCACATTAATTAGCAAAGTATCAACTCACATCATAAATTAGCTACCCTGATAAATCTGATTCTGAGTTAAATAGCTAGCAAGTATCTCCTAATATCTAACGGATTGAAATGTAAGTAGTTATTGCTATGAACAAGGAACAATGGACCAGTTCAACAGTTTAGTAAGTGATAGTTGCTCAAGTGAAGCAGAATAATGAATGTGGATTCAAACGGACTACCTAAATAAGGAATTTTTTATGAAAGCAGCTCATGATAGTCATAGGCCTTTTAGTCAGGTCTTTTAAGTTGGTAGGCAAGAAAACTAGGACATGAAGAGATTATGTGAATTAACTCTAGTCATAAAGTAGACT